AGTTAGACTAGTGCTGATATTTCCAAATATGCTTTCTTGTCTCTGACCTGTTACAATTAGGCCTATAGGCTTATGCAACTTTATGAAAAACTCATAGCTGTAACAAATACATAGAATGTATAGAGTTCCATTTTGTTACTTCATACATGTATTTAATGTCTATTGGGAACAAGAGATTGTATTAGTAGTATATAAGTGTATATTTATGACTGAGGGGCTCTTACCCTCAAGGAACTTATGATCTCATGAGGGGAGTGACTTGGATAATGGCTGTGCAATTTGAGAAAAGATGATAAAAATGGATTTGGGCCCATCCAGTTGGCTATAGTTAGTGGTTGGGCTGTCCCTTTTCCACCTAGTTTGGGAACGGTAGTGTGGGTTCAGAGTTGCTAGGAGACCCAGATCTGGTTCATTCTTTTCCCTGTAAATGCTTGCTTTGGCATCTTAGCATGTTATAGGCATTAAGGTCTGAAAAATCACTAGAAATCTTCAGATGCTGGAAATTTCCCTTAGTCAGCAGCTCAGTCCTGTATTTGATCATCTCCTTTGCTATGAAAAGGGCATAAAACAACCTTGGTGTACTCAGATTTGTGATAATAGCCTTGTATGGCTGGTGGTTTTGAAGATTTACTACTGGGTTTGTTAGATCATGACTGTACATGTGCTAACCTGGGCTTTTATTTTTAAAAGGAGGTCAGTGTTAATTTTTCATTGGGAAAATATGAAAATAAATAGTTATGTCTATTTTGAAAGCAGACAATAATACAGATATATAGTTGTTTCTATTTATCTGATAGTATGTGATCTGATAAAAAAAAATATTTATTTCAATTGCTCTTGGCTTAATAGATGGTCCTGCAAGCTGTACAACTAGTATTTCTGGATTCTCATCCTTCAGATACTTGGGTAGAGTGCTTGTAGTAAATGGACACAATTGGCATTTTTGGTTGTATTCAAACCAACACATAGGCCATAGTGTGAAATTTAGTCAAATTAACTAGAGTATAGTTGATTACCTATTTTTCCCCTTGACTTCTGGATCTGCACAAGTTGGTGGCTTTCTTTTTTTCACCTACCCAGCATTCCCTGACTGTCCAATTTTGGCACTTCACTGGTTAAGATAATGCATTTTGGAGGAATGAGAGACTAATGACAATTGTTTATAATCATTTAATTTATAGTTGCCATACACCTTGGTAATAGTTTTTTTCTCTAAAATCCTTTGCAATAAAGCTCTGTGTCAAGGCAGGTTAATGAAGGACCCTCTGTATGTGTTCATGTGTGCTCCTGTATGTACATGCCTTCAAACTTGTCTGGGGAGTGGGCAGAATGGGAGAGGGAAAGACAGGGAAAGAGAGAGGTAATCTCTCCTAGTACTCTGAAGAAAAAAGGATATTTAGGCTCCTTGCTTATCATGAAACAAGAGGCTTATGTCTTATTGCTGATGAATTGCAAGTGTAATTACAGAGCATTGCTAAACCACATTAAGTCCTAAGGGTTGAATAAAAAAATATACCCCATACACAAAAGCAATTTGAATTGTCTCTGAAAAACCTAGTGGTCAAGTATGAAATCAATTTGTGAACAGGTACAAACTGTTGCTGGTTATCCATTAAAGTCAGCTCCGCAATGCTAAGGGCCAACCTTTAAAAGTAAAATGAAAAGCCTGTGGGTATATCTAATGTGCTACTCACTTACAAGTTTCTGTCCTGTTATAGACATAAACAACAGTTGAACTTTAAAGATAAAATAGTTTTTTTATTGGGTTCCTGGAGAATAATGGTGCTTTTGTACAGTTCTTGAAATAAAGCCTACAGCCACCCCAAATAAAATAGTCTCTTTCAAGATCTTGGAAATAATGACATCATAGGCAGATTGAACCAGCAATCCATTAATAGTATCCTTTATAGAAAGCTGTCTCAGGGGAACACATGGCTAAGTAGATTGGCATTGTTTATAAACATAACATAATAAAATCCTTTTTTTAATATGTTTGTGGAATAGTAGGAGATACCTCCCACTTGTGAAACAGATATTTTAACTGCAAGGATTCCTTGCAGATCCCTACCCTTTCTCCATTGGTCTTCTAAAAATGTGCTTAGAGGCACATGATTTGAAGATGAGTTAAAATACCAAGAACCTCCTGTACTATTCTTTCAACACCAAGTTAGAATTATCTGAAATCATTAGCAGAGGATGATTGGTTGTGCCTTGTAATGGTTAGTAAAGAATCAAAGTGACATCAAGATAATTAAAACCATATCTGAACTGTCTAGGAAAACAGAGATTGATTGGTTCATGCTTTATTAAGTTTCTAGTGTAGAACTGGGCATAGGTTCCTCAGTTTCACTTCCGTCTTTGTAAAAGGGGTATTCCAGCTCCTCTTATGATGCTCTGATGAGTTGACTGACATTGAAACACTTCCAGTTTGGTGGGCAATAGGAATGTATGCCACATAAGCTGAGTCCTTTGCAGACTGTCTGTGATACTGACCATGGAAATGTGTGTTATTAAATTTTTGGTCAAGGATTTTTAGTTCAGTATAGAAGAGTTTAGTTAGAGTTTTAGATTGCAAGTATTCCTTTCTTCCCAACCTACATTATACTTGGGTCAAATAAGATCAGGGTAGTCTGGCAGCCTGAAAAGAAGCAGGGCATCTACCTGTCTCTGGTCAGATGGAGTAATTAGAAACAAAAAAGGCCACTCTGTTGTCAGCCACACCTATTTATCAAGAACAAAGGAGCATAGTATTTTAAATTCTGTAGTTGTGCTGAAACCCTGGCTGGCCCAGACTCTTGTCTTATCATGCAACATCAGCTTCGTATATCATTTTGAAGAGGTGGTGTGGCCCATTTCCCTGACTTCTGTCATCTCAAGTTAAATATGTCATCAGAAAATATATATCATCCAGAAAATGGTGGCTCTCTCTCCCTGTGAGACACTTTTTTTGGAAGTTTGTCTTCTGGGTATTTCTATTTTAAAATACTCAGTTTCTCTGCAATAACTTTCAAATTTCATTAGTTTTACCATGGTAGATTTTGTATATCTGTATACATATTTATGTAGTAATCATTTCGTATTTGTTAATAGTTTTTGAACACAGAAATGTTAAGGAGAAAACTAATGCCTTGTATCTGGTGGCAAATTTTCTCTGTGACTAAATTAAAACCATGAACCTGTCCAGTGCAGAATAATGCCACTAGTGAAGTCAGTCTCAAATTCATTTTAATTCTAGAGAAACTATGAATTTAGAAGGAGCAAAAATAAAATATAAAGGATAATGCAGACACATTAGTACTGGTCTCATATTCTAATTAAAATATTTATGCTAGTACCAGTAGTATCTATGAATATACTTTATCCTTGACATCACAATTACTTTTTCATTGTACTTTTTCTGTAGTTTTACCTAAATAGGAAAATGTGAGGTTTATGAAATTGTTGGTGATAGTGAAAAGCCATTTATTATTTAGTATTTTCACTATTTTGATTACTAAAAAAATAATTGGTCTTAATTCATTAAGATAATGCAGGGCATGACAGTTAAGCAAAACAAAAAGAGATCTCCTGTTTAAATCAAGATTAAGCTAATTGTTAGTTGTAATCACCTGTGCAGACAGTGAATCTATTAATTGATAATCTATTCTTGAGTAATTCCAGACTGTATGTATTTGAGAGAATTTAGAACAAAATGAATTTTTTAAACTACTCTACATAACGTGATGTAACTTAGAGTGCATTACTGAGCGTAATAAACACATTATAACCACTGAATGACTAGAAAGTATTGATAGATAAGTTTTCAGCACAACACAAAGTTAATGATTAGACCCCTGCTTTTGTTTTTGTTGTTCTTGGGTTTGTTCATAGCAAATGTTGTTGGAACAAAGTGATATGCTGAGTCATGTTTGGAGAGTTGTTATGTTCCTAAATTAGTACCAGGGAATACTTGATAAATTTACAGAGATGCAGTTTTAAAGGGATTTGATTTTCCTTGAAATCAAACTGGGGATTCATTTGGAAGGTACTATTAGTACTTGACTTGTGCTGGGGTCAGGACCTTATGGAAGGACTTGAATTAAAGTAGGAAAACACCTGGAGATAAACATTTCATTGCGGAATCCATGCTTTTCCAGTTTATTTTATCCTCCTGGGTAATAAATCCTCCTGGAATGAAAACTGAATACACTCAGACAGAGACACAAGATACTAAATAGTAATGAAATTAAGAGCAAATGAGCTCCTAAAACCCAGACTGGATCTTACAGCTAGCTACTTCTGTCACCTCCCTTGTTCCTTCTTCCAGGACATAAAATGTGGCAGGGAGTAAGGTTATGGTGTCTCCTCGGGAACTGGCCCTCTGACATTTGCCACCTTCATCTTCTGCCTGCTTGGGAGAATATGGAACGTCATTTACATTTACCCTAACAGCACACTCCAACTCTGCTGAAACTTCCAGATCTATGGGATTGTTTCTCAGTTAATTACCATATAAGCAGGGGAGTGCATTTTGTAAATGAGGTACACACATGTAAGAAATAAATACCAAGGACATCTTGATGTTAAAGCAGCTAAGAAGTCATTGTTATGGGCCATTAAAAATCAACAGCCAAACCTGTGTCAGTTCCAAACTCTGAGGAAGCTGATCACCTGACCCTTAACAATCATCAGTATAGAATTTTAAAATAAGATTGTAAATTGTTCGTTAAAACACTGTGAATGGGGAACAGAAAATAGAGCTTCAATGTGGGAAAAGCAAAGGGACTTATGTGTTTTTATAACATTTGAAAAGCCATTAATTACTGCCTTCACTTTCCTTTTTTGAAAATTGCATCAGGGTTTTTGGGCGGTAACTTCCTTTCCTCCAGAAAAGAAACTCCTAAAAACGATCCACAAAAAGCCTCAGAAAACATGAGACCAATGTTAGAATCCCCATATTTACTAGGTTGTTTTTAGACCTCTTCTCCCTCAACTCCTGTCTTTTCCCTCCTTTTCTTCAGGAGCTGTGAAATTGGTTGTTAACGGAAAATGTCTGACGGCCTGGATAATGAAGAGAAACCCCCAGCTCCTCCACTGAGGATGAATAGTAACAACCGGGATTCTTCAGCACTCAATCACAGCTCCAAACCACTTCCCATGGCCCCTGAAGAGAAGAATAAGAAAGCCAGGCTTCGCTCTATCTTCCCAGGAGGAGGGGATAAAAGTAAAGTATCAGTGGCCGGGCATTGAAAAGGGGCTAGTTTATTCTTTCATTTTCACTTTCTTTCTTAAGTAGTTGTTTCTTGAGCATTGACTATTCAGGGCCTGCCTGACCTTTTCATCTACATCTTCAGAGGTTGCATTTTGTCAGAGAATAATGCTTGATTGATTTACTGTAGGCTGACAGAAAATACATTTACACTATATTTGCCTTTCACATAAAATTAAATTCATAGTGTTAAGCCAAGGGTAATCATAGCAACAGTACTGTCTTGAATATATCAACAATGACTTTCTTTCTGATAATATAGAGTAAAATTTACAATAATCCCTCCCTAACTGTAAGTTGTTCTTTTTGGAAATTTGGGTATAGGTGGATTTACTTCTGTATACCCTTTTGGTAACTGAAGATTTTGAATTCAGTATATGGGAATCAGTCTACGTTGACACAATATTTCTCTGACTATATCGTAGGCGGGAAGACATTTCTGAGTCATTTGTTTCCATTCTCATTCTTCTACATCTTGTCCCCTAGATAGTTAGCCCCATGTGTACTAAGTAGCATACCAATATATTATAAATTATCCCTCTGGTGTTTATAATACCATTTAGTGCTTAAATATCATATGCTAATGCTTTGAGACATGCAGAGATATGAAATCTCTAGTAAGTAACTTTCAGGTTGCATTAATTAGCATAAAGCTGAAACATGGCTTCTACAGATATGAAGCAAGTACAAGGGCAGTGACACCATAGAAAGTTGTCAGAAGGGCAAGAAGGGTGATGTCTTTAGAAGAGAAACAGGACATTCTCAATCTACTTCTTCTAGGTAAAATAAATAGCTTTGTAGGTCACTTATATAGTGTTAATCTGCAATTCATACCATAAAGAAAGCTGAAACTATTAGTATGGACAGTACTGCCTCTTGTACACCCACATAACTTAAAAGATGCTTTGTTCTTCATGACCCAAGGATGGAAAATATGGAAATGAAGTTAAACCTCTGGGTTGAAGATAAAGCAAAGAATAAGGAACCACATTCCATTCAAGGGATCTGTGACCATGCAAGAGGAGTTTTCAAAGACATGTATTTTAGACACTGAAATGAATCCAGAAAAAAAATTGCTGGGAGTAAGGGATGGTTTGAGGAATGTAATGTGCACCATAACGTGGAGACCAGGTCTTATTTGACATTTGTGCCAAAGAACAAACCACTAGTTCCTGTAGCTCTCATGTTGTATTAACCATAACTTCAGGAATTGGTTGAAGAAGAAGATTACATGCCTGCAGAAATCTTTAGTGCTATTGAGAATGTCAGTCAAGCTTTCAAAACTTTTGAATACTTCTGAAGAGCAAGAGCCCACTGATGCTGAGGTCAGCAAAATCAGAGAGGCTGACATTTCCATTTGTTTTTGCCAGTACTTCAGGTGACCTCATAGTGAAATGCTTGCTGCTCTATAGAAAACTGTGCCCAAACCCTCTCAGGGAAAATAAATGAGCCAAGTTTCCCGTGTACTGGCAAGCAAACAGAAAAACCTGGATGGAACCTCCTCTCTTTAAGGGATGGCTTGAACAGTACTTTCTTGTGGACGTTCAAGACTACTTAAAAGGAAAAAAAAAATAGCTTGAATTTAAGGTCCTGCTGATGCTTGACTCTATTTGGTGCTTCAAGTACATTTGCAAATATGCATCCTAATGGTAAGGGTGTCTTTGTAACTAGCTACATGTCTCAGATTCTTCAGCCTTTTGATCAGTGTGTGATCTAGCCATTCAGGAAGGCTTATTCTAAAATAATATATAACTTTGTTTAAAATCTCACGAAGTTTCCACTGTCTAAAGATCCTAGTATATGAGATTCCATTACTAATGGCATTACCAAACCTTAATGAAGGTTTGGCTGTTGATTTTAAATGGGTTTTCGGGCCGTAACTTCCCAAAGAGGCATTAGATAGCATAACAGAGCCTGTCATTAATGTGACCTGAGAGAAGACTTGGATAGAGGTAGGGAAAATATCTTTCCTCGGTCCTTCCCAAAGACAAGAAAAACCTATGGATAAGGATGAACATTTGGCATAAGAGCAATCATTGGTGCAAGTCGAATCTGAACCTGTTGACACTGATTCAAGTTAATGCTGCTACAGGATGATCCTCAGGAAGCTTTCTTGACTCCAGAGGTTATTATGACAAGTTTTGATGAAGACAATTAGGAGGCTATGGAAAGAAATACAGCTATCAGAAACAGGAGCAAAAATTTTTAGAACAAGACTAAAACTTCCCTTCGAAGGTAATTAAAATTGGCATCTTTACATGTGTCAAATCTTACCTGTTCAAAGCTTGAGTGACGTAGCAGAATTCTATAAAGAGGTGCTATGATGCCTTCAAACATAATCGTATTGGACAGGAACTATCTTCAATAGAACTTAAATCATGTGCCATTTAATATTGTTGCTGGACAGCTGATAAAACACTTTCAGATAAAGTTTGATTTAGTTAGACTCTAAAGGTGCTAAGAGTCTTTTTAAAACACTAAATTGGGAAGAAAGAAACCTCAGAAAAGCCTAAATTATCAAGTAGTACCATATAAATACTATTAGTGGACAGCTAATAAGCAACCTTCAGACAAAGATTGAATGATTAAATAGAACTCCATACAGAAGTCGTAAGGTGTCTTCAAAAAGGACTTGAGAAGATGAAAGCATCTTTAGAAGGGCCACTTAAAATCACTTGCTTGATAGAGATAAAGCCCAAGCAAGTTGTTATAACTTCAGGATTCAACTGCACTGACTGAGAGTATAGCCATCCATGAATTGAACAAATTAACAGTCCACTTCTCTTCATTGCTTCTCTGTTACCCCCATTTGCCACTACCATAATGAGTGCTAGATACATCCTCATCACCTCTGGAAATCGTCTCAGGATCTAAATGGAAACTGTATAAAGCCTATCATTTTTACTGATTTAAGCTATGTAAACTCATTATTCTTTTTTATGTAATGTACTATTGTTATTGTTTACCTGCATAAAAGAATTTATGAGGATTTTCAACAGTTTACTTGCGACCTCATTTTTGCCCAATTTTTCCCCTTTACAATATCATGATCTCCTCAGCTGCATTCTCTTATCTTGGGGGTTGTTCAGGAACCTGACTCTCACGGGGAAGGAGGGATTACTATTTCTGTGTTCCTGTCTCTTGGTAACTGGTTAACCACAGTCAATCGTGAACTAATGGAGAGAGCACTGGACTTGGGTCCTTGAGACCTGGGTTCATGTTCAGCTCTGCCGCTGATTATTGTGACTTTGGGCCAGTCACCTGGTTTCTCAGTTTCATCACCTGTTAAGTGAGGATAGTAATATCTGGCACAAATACCACAATATTTGTGATAATTGACTAATTCTAAGTACCAGATGGCTATTAAAAGTAAAATTAGGAAGTACTGAATAACCATGATATCATTATATTTGTAGCATGTTGGAACTTATTGACAAACAACTGAGAAAACTAGATTTTTGAATTCTTTTATTCTTTTATTTTTTTATAAGTAACTTCCTCCCTAACTGGAACTTTTTATGTCAATTATAGAAAATTTAAAAAGAAAATTAAAATTGCCTATAATTTTATAAGCCGGAGGTAACTAAGTTGATATTTTTCTTCTTAGTACCTCTTTTTCTCATCATAAATCGTTCATCAATGCAAAAAACTTGGAAAACAAAGATAAGCATATAGAAAAAAAATAAAAACCACCCATAATCACAAATCCCAGAAGCAATGTTGATGTTTTGGTGGATTTATTTCCAGACATTTTCTATGACTATATATGCACATATATAATTTTCACATGGAAAGGATTATAATGCATACAGTTTTGTTGCTTTTGTACTTAACATTTATATCGTGAATATTTTCCTACATTTAACAAAGTATTTGTGAATATCATCTTCGATGATGTATAATATTTCACCATAGGATGGCATCATGGTTTAGTTAACCATTTTCTTTTGTTGGATATTTGAGGGTTTTTCCAAATTTGGCCATTATGGTTTCACAATGTCAATTTTATTTCCTAACTGAAAATATTTGCTTTGGTGATATCAGAGGATTTTTTTGTTGTTTGTTTTTGAAGAAGTCCTTTTAATATCTACATGCCATTGACTAAAGGGAACTTCAAGAGACAGATAGAAGAAAACAAAAGAATTAGTAGACGTAGTTTTAAGATTGAAGATTTATTTTGTTGGTGACTGTTCGAAAAGTTGAATTTTGGTGTTAGAGCAATTTAGGAGGTACAGTTTGCCACCATTTTATTATGCTTTACTGTAGAAAAGTTTTCAGGATTTAGACCAGGAAAGGGATATCCTAACCATATGGATTGCTTTTATTTTATGGACCCATTGAAGTGTGGGACTGATCAGGTATCTCTTTTGTTGGCTAGTAGAAAGCTTGGAGCCAAATATCTGGTCCATGCATAGCACTTGTAATGGGACTCTACGGTATGTATGCACTTTGTATTGGCTTTCTGCCAGGCTCCATTTCGTGTTCCTATCTTTATTGTTTTTGTTTTTTCCTTTCACTTTCTTATCTGCTTTGAATTTATGCTATCATGTTGTATTTTGTGTATTCTTGTAAGCCACCTGACATCCATTTTGGAACATGGTGGAGAATAAACACACAAATGAATAAATAAATATATTATAAATACGTTAATAAATAAACCATTAAGGAAAAAACCATGAGGCAAGTGAATTCAGCCAGGACTCTGAAAATTGCATAGTCCCTCCAAAAATAATCAATATTAAGGACTTGAAGCTTGGAAGAACATATTGGAAAGAAGCAGGTGAAGCTGCGAGGCTGCATTTAGAGGTGACATGTTCTGTGTGATGTCTGTGTCTACTGAAGTGTGTTTACATGTCTTGTGTCTTCTGCTGCACTTGAGCATTAGGTGTGTTTCAGAGGATATGCAATGCTGTGTAAAGGGCTGTGTCTTTAGAGGGCACAGTTCATGTGCATTT